GTGCAGTTTGGTTGTCTATTGGGATTTTCTGATTTCAGATTCTGTAGCGCTCGGTCGATACAAGCTATGTCGGTTTAAGGTTCGATGCGTATCAATACTGGATGCGCGTGCTGACCGGTAAGAGCCGATCTTAGGAGCTAGCCCATGTGTCATATTGTTAGTTTGTCCTGTGCGTTGGACCTACCGAAGTTGAGTTGCGTCTTCGAAGAGGCCACAGCAATCTAGGCTGGTCGCTTGGTTTGGGATCCATCGACGGAGCAGGGGAAAACTGCAGGCATTGTATACGGTTCGACTGACTGCCACACATGGTATTGGTGGTCTGAATGTAGCGGAGAGGGTACCGAACGGATCATTGGGAAGACACGAGCCTGCCAACATACTGGTATCAGCGATCTGTCCGATCGAGAGCGTCAAGCACGAGAACTTGGTATGGATGACAGAATCATTGCGCACCTCGGCCGTGTCCAAGCAAGCACACCTGGGTGCTGGTTATCCATCCTATACTCATATTCCTCTCGTGCGATATTCGCCGAGGGAAGCCGGAGAAAGACAATAGCAGCATCCGAAATCCAGGGGGAGCTCATTATAACCACGCTCTCATAAGAGGTGTCATGCTACCAAGTGAAAGGTTAAGTCCTTGCTATTCTCTTCCAGCTATGGATCACCACGAAGGGCTTTTCCACCGTAGCGCTTTCATGATATGCGATCGTTCTCCGAACAAAAAGGGTGGTTGTTAGAACAGCGAAGCTATCCCAAAGGCAATTCGAACTAGAAGACTATGAACAACGTAGAAGTTAGACCACATCCGTTACTCGAGCTGAGAGGTTGAGAGAATCAGACACCATACTCACGAGCACTATCCCTACGCACGTCATAGACCTGGTCGCGTTTGAACCGTCCCCAAGAGCAAGAACAGGGCCTTTCCCCAGCATGAGCAGGAAACCTGCTCTCCATCGAAACAAGAACGACCATGCCAGAAATCGTGAAAGCCAGGGGAGATCCGTCTTCACTCCATCCTCACCGAAGATGGAAGTAGTGAGAGAAGTCTGTGAGCACCGTACCTGGAACCAAGGCGATTCGAGGTCCAGATCCATTCTAGGAACGAATCACGAAGGCATAGCATCAGAGATTCGCCAATCAACTTCCCCAATATGGGAGGGCATCGTGCAGATTCTTCCAGAGAAAACTTGATTGTGCCATGGTATGGTGCTTGCTCCGGTGTCTGGTCTGTGGTCAGTTTACTAATGTGAACGGGGAAAACTCTCTCGGTTTGCACTTTCCCCAATATACCTCTTTCCCGATATAACTCCCCGCTCTCCACCACCTTCCCCCCCCCCTATATGAGAAACACATATATATGTGCCTCCTGGCCTGTTCGGCGGAGTATCTATAGTAATATCACTTAAGGTTCCGGTAAGTACTTTGTTCATAGGATAAAGGAAAGGGGACATGAGGCGGGTTCGAGAGTTCTATGAGCTCATCTGTTGTATGATCCCCTCCCCAACGGGTTATAATACACTGTAGGCTGGTAGCGATCAGGTTTTCCTACACAACAGAATCAAGGTATGATGATGATGGCAGTGATTATAGCAAAAGTATCAGGAATAGCAATCAGCTTTGACAATCGGGGGGTCGAGAACACGGACAAGGAAGGGATCGAGCGTCACATATCAGACCTTACGATTCTGAAATCTTATCAATAGAGAATCAGAAGAGACAAGTCGAGGCATATACTCCGAAGCTACATACTTACTTATTATCTGTAAAGCTAATTTGTGAAACCTTTCCTGCGCTTTGGTTGACCTACCTCGTCAGCGAGTCAGAAGTAACGTCTAGAGCCGCTTGACTGGCTTCGACTCATGATTCAAGCGGTAATCTGCTTCATGGCCCACGACTCGAGCGTCGGGCACCTCCTATATCATTCTGCTCCATTTCCTCAATCGAATGAGATGCAAGTCTGTGCCCCCTTGCCCTATCCAGGTATGAACCCCAATTCGGGCACCGTAGGTGTTTGCCCCGGTGTACATGATTACAGTACATGTACATGCGCATACCTCGGTACAAGCGATTTACCGGATGGTAATTTACTTCTTGGTTATCTAGGGTCGATATAAGCTACGGAATGATTTTGGCAGCGATCGGAAGCAGTTCCAAGAAGGTATAGACTATATCTCAGGTGCCATATGCCCTTCCTAATGATTTTTTTTCCGTGTTCTCTGGCATGATCGATCGAGGGAGGCGGATGGTTCAGGTTACATGGTGCCTTGTTTAGTTGCTTTTGGTCAGTTCAGTGGGGGGTCCGGAATAATCTATTTGACTATATACTAGTCTCAGAAGGTCAAAATAGGAAGATTCGGAGGAAGTTCGTCTGAGCTCATCACAGCGAATGACAAATATAGATTTCGCGCACATGGTGTTTTGGTGTGGCCAAAAAAAAACGATATCAGTAGGGAGTTAGATTGTCGATATATTGGCCCAACCTGAGGCTTATAGTTCGAATGGTCGTGCCTTGTAGTCAGTCTACGGGCGCAAAAAAAAAATGAAAAAATGAAAACAGAAGGAGACAAGAGGTTCCAGTTTAATCTATTTAGATTGGGGTGTTTGTTGATTCCATCGGGACAGTGGGCACCCACCCATCACGGCTGTAAAACTCCGACCTAAATTATTGATTAGCATATGCCGTCATCATCAGCAGCAGCAGCAGTAGCAGCATCATCATTGTCGATAATTCTGGAAGAAAGGGCAAAAAATAGAAAAACTGTTAGCCTCCTCTCGCTGTCTACGATGCTACCTTTTTTCTAAGGGGTTTACGCAAAAGACGAATTAGCTTGTTAATGTGCCCTGCTTAGCCCCTTTTGTTGTACTCAACGCGGGTATGGGCTCCAGTTTATGGTGTTTGCAAGCCCGCCTGACTCGTGCTTAAGTATATGTAAATCCTGAACGGTAAGTTAACTTAGAATTGATCCGTGATACACATCCCATCTTCTGTAGTTGCTGCCTTGGGACGCGGGTGGATTCGGTCGCCCTTCTTTTCTGCACCTCCCGTTGACACTACTAGAAATCCACCCACCACCGCACCACGTTGTTTTTACGGCCGGAAGCAACGACAGTAATACTATCCGTTCACTATAGGATCCAGAGTGTCATCATCCTACGGGTTGACTTCGGGGCTTAAAACATCTAGTCTTCCTCACTAAGCACTTCTCGTCCACCAGACAGGAAAAGAAAGAAAAAAAATTATGGGGGAAGAGCAAAAATTGACGGGTGATTTAATTAAACTCGTCTGGTGCTAGCACCCTTCGGGTGGTCATCTCCGTGATCACTGTTGGCTAGCAATGCATCACTGATAGACTCAAAGAGACCAGCCAGACCAAAACCCCCCCCTCCTCCTCCCTCCCCCCTTCCCCCTCCCTCCCCAAGATCCGCTCAGATTCACCCCGACGATGGCGATGGGCGATAGATAGCGACGCTAGGCAAAGTCTGGAGTCTAGACAGTTCCCACAGATAGAGGTTGCAGAACGGAAATCGTGCTAGTCGTGGCGGGCCGATCGACAACCGTTATGAGGTCAAGAGCTCTCCCTACTGGTACTCACCTCCTCTCCATACCTTGCTTCTGAATGCTTCACCTATCATAATGAGCGAAAATTTCCGTGATATCTCCCCTATCTGCCCTATTGTTTGTCTCGCTTTTTTTTTTTTGGAAAAAAGAAAATAATGGAAGCCCACTTGTGTACCCACCACTCGAATTACAACACCTGGATCAGTCCAGGTCATTTACTATGGACAGTCCGGTCCAGCTCAATATATGGAGTAGCTTCCCAGCTTCACGGACACGGAGAATAAAGCCGAGAAGTCATGTGCATGGGGAGTTCGAGCTCGGCAAATTAGAATCTCCCATATGGAAAGATAATCTGGACAAAATGGTTCTATCGTGATGTTGACGAGGGGTTTTGATGATCGAAATGACTTTCTGACTTTGTACGATTTCCAGTGAGGGTCAAGGGATGCAAAGAAGCCAACAGAAGGCGAGTCGGATAATCCGGTCTCACTCCCCTCTCCAAATCTGCGTATGCATCGGATCAGCCTGCATGCCTTTCCTGAATCGCGTACTTTTGAGTGACACGCACAAAAGTGATGCGCCCTTCCTCGATCCCACCTCAGTCTTGACCGCGCTAAGTAAGTCAAGGTGGAACCCCCCACTGCAGCCGGGTCCATGGCAGATGCAGTGGGGAATCCAAACGTTCAACGGCCTGGAAGAGGCAGTATCTGCGTCCCGCAGACTCCGAGCCCGGACGCCAACTTTGCCCAAATGCAAAATTGCCTGAATTTGGAGGGGGGGGGTTGCAAGAGGGAGAGGTTTGAGCGCATCCACACGAGACTAACACCGATCTCACGAGTCCACGACAGCAGTCGTCCGCTTTGGATAAGATTAATTTGCGCTTGTGAGATCAGCTCATTTTGCCATCTTTTCCTGATTTTGGCTTGTGTTTTTGCCTCATGAGGGAAATGGGCCTAGCGGATCATCATTACCACCATCATGGCGTCGACCACGTCCAGAGACCCGGGATTTGCTTACGACTTGGAATCGGTGATTGATTTCCTGTGCCACCAACACGGAACCCGAAGTAGATCCGTCTGGCGGTCGGTGTGTTCATGAGGTACCGTAGTGATGAAGGATCTATGGAAAAGCAGGAAAAAAAGAAACACTAACTCGAGTAGTCACGAGAGCGACAGAGGAATAGAGTCAAGATTTTGTTCCTTAGGAGATGATAACCTTACACATTCCGCGTACCTGGGTAGGGAAATGATTGTTGCTCAACTTCCGAGCCACACATTCTTCTTGGGGGAGGACGGAGGGGAATGTGAATGACTTCCTCCTTACCTCATCCGGTGTCCGTCTGCATAGTCCTCGGCGGCGATTATGCTGCTACTGCTGCTGCTGCTGATGATGATGATCAGCGGTTGTCATCTACCCTCACCTGGATGGCCTCCCTGTCAACCATGCCCCAACTTACAGCCACAGTGGAACATAAGCAGGCCTGAACAGCAGCCATGGTATCGATCGTGATGATTGACAGGGCATCTGTCGCATTCGTCATTCTCGGGCAGGGTTTCTCCAGTCAAATCTTGGTACGCCAAAGACGGGACAGTTTGACTGGTGCCGATGGAGGAAGGCCCACTTCACGTGTTTTTCAAGAGGTTGGTTGGAGGAATGCAGTGGGTCAGCTTCTCAGTCTCCCTATTCGGAAGGAGGTGGCCGAGCTATCCTTCAGTGCGGTGACACACGTGGTTTTTATGGCTTGGAGAGGTATGTGGCAGGTATGTACTCCGTAGTCTACTTAGTTATGGACTATGTACCGAGTGGTGGTGGTAGTTGTATGATTATGATCATTATGATCATTGTCGCCGGCGTTGCTGCTGTTATGCCTCGTCCGTACCTTGACTTCAAACCCACCGCAACATATTTCCATTCTGACGCGCTCCCCGAAAAGATCGCGGAACCATCATTGTCCAAGGCAACCCCCCTCTAGAAAGGCCAAACGTAGATTGGAACTGGCATGAGTTGGAAGAGGCGGTATATCCCGCCAATCTCGCAGCTCAGTCTAGAGAAGAAGAAGATAGCCCATGCACACGTTAATCGGTAGAAGTTCCTGAGACGGTTCCGATCGCAGAATAATAAATATGAGAATATGGACTTTTGAGCCCGTTCGATGGGCAATGGTCCAATATACGCAACGCAGAACGGGAAGACGAGATCTCATGTCGATTGTCGGCTGGCTCGATACGGGGATCGAAGATGAAGATTCCAGACGGGTACAGACAGCATCAGCATGGCTGGTGGGGGAGTGAGGCCGTTACCGAATGTACAGAGTACATACATGTCCCCGATCGGTCTAGTTGCAGCACAGCCAGGTCCTGCTAAGGCAAGGGAATTGCGGAAAAAGGTCGAAAGACCCGCTGCGAGGCACGGGTTAAGCCGAATTTTTTGACGAAACCCCAGCTGTCAGCTTCCTGTTTGGGGGTAAGTCGTCGGAGAGTTTACCGGGATGGATCCACTGCATCGGGGGGATGTTTGCCCTCGGGTGCATTTCCTTTTGGCATTCCAGTACCAGCAAAGTTGACTTATTACGATAATGACGATGATGATGATGATGATGATGATGATCCTTCTCCCTTTCATCATACCAGTGGTCGAGAGATCCAGCCGTCGAGAAGATTGGTCCACCGCCACTAAGGTACCCCTGACTTTGGGGACTCTTTTCTTTTTCTATTCTTATTTTCGTTCTTCCACTGCTATGGCCAGGGCCCATCCGGGCGAATAAGAAAGTCCTTGGTTAGAGTCACCTTGCCGGTGGTACATATGGAGAATCTGGGGGATCATAGCCAATCATAGTCAGCCTGGAAGTGGCTCGCCACTCTTTGACAAAAGGTACGGTAATGTACTTCAACGGCGAGGGTCAGGTCCATTAGCAGGATTGCTTGCCGGTGATGTAAGGTGATGGAGACGGTTACTACGAGTACGTACTCGCTGGATCGTAAGCCCTTCTCCCAAACCAAGACCAAAGAAGTGCAGTGGCTACCTACCTAGTAGTAAACAGATCAGGTGTCAAGAAGCGGAAGGCGGCGTTTGTCGCAGGCGAACACCAGTAACTTCGTAGTAGTAAGGTCGTTAGTCGGAGCCATCACAAACCACAATACGAATGGTGTCAGGACTTTGTCTCCGCTCCAATAGACAGAACGCTTGTCGCCAGAACGATCACCGGGCTTCAATCCATACATCCGCCCGTCCGTCACTTTCGACTCTTGCCACAAACGGTCGAAGCGCCGTCCAGCTCCCCTCCCCTTACCCCTTATGAGTGCCGATAGGACTCTTCGATCAGCGCTGGGAGAGATCATACTTAGTAGGACCCGGTCCCACATCTGATACCTAGGTGCCGGTATTACCTGTACCATGTAATAATTCAGGTTAATCCAGATATGCCTATGGGGCTGTTCTGTGTCGCTGTCAGGGAGACCCAGTGGAGGTGTCGGGACTGAAAACTACTAACGGTCGCAACGGTTCTTTATCCATTGCCCTCTGGCGCTGTCGATCCCGGCCGTTTGCCGGGTCACCAATAAATTCCTCGCTTCGCGAACCATGCTGTGTCACCTCCTGACTATGCGCGAAATCTTCGATCGAAGACTCCCGCTGACAAAGATCAGTTTTGCGATGCTGGCACACCTTAGTAATCAGTCCTTCCGGGCAATCATCTGTCTGTTGCCTGGCACAAGATCCATTTCACCTGGCTCCATAGCTAGGTAGTGAATGCGGGTTTCCCAGTCCGCTACCTGTCTCTGGCGTCGGTTAAACGGAGTCAAAGATGAGGAGGAGTCATGAATTTGGGGTGATTGGCCTCGGATAGTGCATAGGACTCGAGTCAGGTTCCTCGTCAATCGATAGTACAAGATCCAAGATTCTGTGGTCATCGTGAGGGTCTTTTCTTGATCTGTTCTACCCCATTCTGTCACCCAGTAGGTTTGTTACTTTGTATACACAGACTCCCCTTATGCAATATCTCGGATTTTGTGGGGCTTGAGCGCTTCTCGACCTTTCAAGTCGATGCGGTAACACGAACGGCATACTGCATAAATAGCGACAATGGTATTGTTTGGTGCTCTCTTGGCACTGGAGAGCCGAGCAGTACTTTCCAAACGACGATCATTGCTTCCTGGGGGCAAGGAAGAAGATTTAGATTAGCAGCATGTCGGTGAGAGATGGATGGGACATGTCTCCACTGACCAGAGAACTGGTACAGAGCCGATGGCTCTCATCACGATATGGGGCTGGTTGATCAGGGAATTTCTCGTCCTAGTCTAACTACTATGTGTATGTATGGTTTCCTGTCCCATTCACCCCTTTCGACATGACTGATAACAGAGATCGTCACCACCGGGGGGGCATGAAGGCGCAACGCAATTGTTCTTGGAGCGAGCGGATACCACCACATTTGCCATTGGAAAAAATCACCGGTAGACGTTTTGTGTCATCTGGAAACCACAGCAGCCAACAACGAGGGTCCCCTTTGCTTGTATACATACTCTCACTCACTATGACAGTATAAGTCAGCTTTCAGTTCAAGGAACGGAAGCATAGCCCTTGTATCTATCCATGGATTTCTTGTCTGATCAGGTCGGTCTCCTTTCCACAGGGCGTACCACATGGTGGACGTCGAAGCCCGAATATGCGCTATCGTGCACACTTGTCAACAGTGGCACAACAAGCTGGGGCGGAACCGTGTCTCCGTAATAACTTTCGCCAAGTTATAGTCCATGGTCTATCGGGTGGCTGGGGATATAATCGTGTTGGCTGTATTTGAGACTCACCTAATCTCATGCAAGCTGTCACTTATCTCAAAACATTCCAAGATCCTGTGAGCTTGTTGGTCAATGCGTCGGATTGTGACCAATCAACACCATTCGATGGGGCCCGGTGTTGTATGCACAGTGTTTTGCGATCCAGCATTCCTAGTCCGAAATGATGCTTAGCATGCCCGCTTGAGCCCTCATTTCCTGCCCTCAAGATCGAGAGCAGATTCGGCTATTTGAAGTTACGATGTATATGAAATGGGTAAGAACCTATAGATTGTAGGAATATCGTCGAAAGAATGTGATACGGATGTGTATGTCCATATTATTACCGATTCCTGGGCTCCTTCGAGGACGCCGAAGGATAGTTACTGGGAGTCACTAAGATAAACTGTAGATTTGTACGGTGGCCTGCTAAAGTGAGTCGAAACTGCTCCAGGCAACCTGATCAAAGAGTATGGGTCAATAACAAGGTTTGCTATTAGGAGCAGCGAGTGGGTAGTCTACGGAGTAACTTTTCCCCTACGTACTATGTTGAATCAATTGACATGATCACTTGTTATTGAAGTTACCTGGTGTGTACCTGGAGTGGTGGGCGGATGGATGGGCGATTGGTACCAGTCCGATCAGATTAGTCGTATTTTAAGGCGACCGTTGGATTCATCCACCACGGGTCGCCTCGTCTGTGCACTGGTAAGGTGGTCAATGTACAGTACTTTACTTCGTACAACGGGCTGACCCCTCAGGATTACTTTCATAATGTCGGCGTCACAAGTCATAGGATTCCCTGGAGTTTTCAAAAGCCCGGGCTCGATTAAATAAAGCAGACTCACAGAGGGCAGGTAGATGTGGTTATCTGTATCATGAGTTCATAGGTCGGGCAGCTTTCACATGCTAACCATTATGGCCGTAGTTAATTCTTCCGAACAAAAAAAATCCTTCAGGATGTTCTTCCATACCCACCGACCAAATGGAAAAGCTTGCTGTAACCTTACCGGGTTTAGGATCGTTCTAGTTGATCCCTCGAGAGAATAAAAAACATCACGTCAACAGGTACCTATCTGGATACAGATCCGATACACAGCCCGTTGAGTAGGTGGCAGGTACGTTCTAAAATGATATGCATTGTGTCCGTAAGGACGGTGTCGGTCCACGCTAATGAACTTGTAATAAAAGAGAAGGGGATATAGCAGGAATAAGGTGAGCCAGGAAACTTACAAACAGAATATCCCGGTCGGGGCTTGTGTCTTGCAACTATCTTCAAGCTTGAGGGCTGGATCATCACTCTATCTCAATTGGAGATACATGTGTTCAGAGCCATCCTCAACCCAGAAACTCGATTGAACTTTGCTGCCGGATGGTGATAATTTTTAGATCGTGACTGGGAGTCTATTTTCCAGAACCAGCATTTGCTTTGTCCCTCACTTGTATCTTGCATTCAATACTAGGTGTTACAATTCATGGCTCAACCTCGTAATGATCGAAGTTCCATCCTTCTCCGTGCGATCAAACTCAGGGTCAAACGATTCCCTGCTGCAGAGACAGAATCATAAAGGAGACAGATCAAACTGGATGGTTCGGTGACGTATCTGGTCATTCACAAGCATGCCGGGTTTTGCTGATAATGATTGTGAGGGAAACAGTGGGTTGATGCCGAGTTTATATATTCCTAGTGATCTTACAGTGTGTAAGGAAATTAATATGAACGGTCGGCTTGGATAAGCTCAGCCGAGGAAATAATTAGCTGTGGCTGCTTATATTGATTATCATGCACCGAGCATCATCTACACAAGCAGACCATTTGCATTTGCCGGTGCGATGATATATACCTATGGCATAGTGTTCAAGAGTGAACTGACGCCAATGCGCCCGCCCATGCTGATCATGTGATCAAACTCTCCACAAAAAGGCTTGAGCTCCCCTCGAAGGGCCCGGCAAACATTAACATACCCGATATAAGGAAAGCAAAAGTCAAATGAAGTTCAACTTCCGTGATCGGGGGTGACGAAGACCAATTAAGTTATCTTCGAAGTCAAACCTATCATAAGAGATCGAGTTTGCTGGGGCTAGGCCCCGTGAGGTGTACAGGGTTGTCAGACAATTTCTCTTCCAGGTTGAGGAACGTGTCTCGATCTGGTGTCTGAAGGTGTAAGACAGCAGAGCACGCACTGACACGAAGTTTCTCGTTCGGGATATTCGTCCGTTCCAACACTGTGCATTGGATGTGGCAGAAGGGGGGCTATTTGGTTGCAACGGGAGGAGACTGTTGCTCAACTGCCCCTGCTAGCATTGCTAATTAGAGCCAAATATCTGGGTTAGTGATCGATCGATCGAAAGTCTGAGTGCAGTCGTGACCCAATCGAGTAAGCAATAAGTACTCCGTAGTCGACAGCGAAGGCGTCCGTTGGAAGCCTCGAACGCATCCGTTATACACATATCATGGATAGATTTCCTCCCTTCCTAGAGCACTAGGATCAGGGCTTCAGTTTCACCGTCTTCAATAGTCTGTTTACCCCTTCTAGTGACATTTTGCTCACCACTGCAGGCTACAGAGTAATGAGCAACTGAGAAATACAAAACACTTAGAAGTCAGCCAACGAGCTATAGTCTTGCGGCTGGAGCAGCAAAGGAACAGGGCAATGAAAACCCCCATTGAAGAAGAAAGACAGGAATTCTCCAGCGCCTACATTATTACCTAAGGCTAAATTGACTTTGCAACGGATGTTGAATGATCATCAGGAATGTTGATCAAGGTGGTGATGACGATGGTGCCACCCACAAACGGCTATGCCCGAGATCTCGAGCAAGGGAAAGCGGGGAGCGTTGTATTGTACCATGGTACTGTACAAATCACGCAGGCACGGCTATACTTTGCTGCACCCCTCCTTCGATCTCATCCTTTCCTCGACATTGCTTTTAGCTTACAAACTAAATTGTTCCCCTCCCTGCTCCCCCCCCTTTCATGTCGAATGACAAATAGCTTCAACACTACAAGTGAAAGCAGGGGGCCCAGCAGCCTGATCCAAAAGGTCTGGTTCCTCGCTGCAGGAGGGGAGCTGACCATGGCTCGCGTCAGCTGGAAATTTCGCACGCCGTGCTTCGGAGTGAATGGCAGGCTATACTTTAGCTGCGATCCCAACTGTGCATATCTTTTGGGCTAGCTGCAGCTGGCGAAGTGTGTTTGCAGGTGTTTTGCTGATGCGCGATTCCATTTCCCCACTAAGATCGTTCTCAGATCTCCAGGGTCGGAGACTATCCTTCCTTCTAACGCAGCCGGTGCTGGCGCTAAAGGTGCCTTCTGTCCAGCGAGGTTCTCCGTTGGAATTGGCCTTGAGTCCTGGGTGGGTATGTGTGTATCTGCTCCGGCCTTGTCTTGAACCTTGTTTAATCAGGGCGACAATCTGACGACCTCGGAGAAGATTATGTTGGCCAGGGAGGTCAAAGCTCCCTGTATGTAACCAGGTATTGAATCAGCGATCTGGGAACTGTGCCAACTTCGATTCCAGTATGTTTGTTTGACATACCTTGGGCTTAACATTTGGATCTAAGTATCGATCACAGGTAGCATTTTGCTGCCTTACCAAGCAGCTCGTCATGGGTCGCAGCGTTGAAGTTACAGTGCCGAGGCAAAACACCGCAGCGTCGGTAGTATGGATAGAATTCAAAGCGTGGTAGATGGCCATCGCCTTCTATTCTTCTCTTCATCCACAGAAGCTTAAAACCGTATGAATATTTTTCTGTGTATCCAGCCCCTGTAAACATATCTTAGTTGAATGTGACGCATCTTCCTTCAGAAGACAGGGAGAGATCCCGGTGACTAGGGTACTATACCACATGTTTTTCAATTTCTCACACCAGATATGATGACCAGAAAACAACTCCTTCCCATCTACGCATCATCTCTCTACACCTGACAATACTCGGGACAGCAAACACAAGCGTAGAATCTTTATTTAGTCAAGAGTCACTTCAATTCGGTGAAATATCTTTTGAGCGTCCCGTGTTCGTTTCCGCACCAAAATTAGAGGCACATTCCCTCAGATTGCGTAGCGTGCGATCTCTGGATCTTGATATCCGGACCACTTATCGTTGCCCCGATATTAACATTGATTAACATTGTCTTCTGTCCCCTCCTCAGACACGGTGCACCACCCCTCTCTTGGCTTGCCCCTGCTCCCGTCGGCTCCGAAATCGTTACATACCCATACCGATTATCCGTGGTCCGAATGTTCCATGATGTTCGGTCATGGCATTGAGCCCCAGCTATAGGTATGGACTTGACGAGCCATAAACAGGATTTCTTAGTTGACGTACATTAGAGCATAAACTATAAGGATAGAAGTTTTGACCTACACCCAACACTGGTTAAGGTTCATCGAATCAAAAACTTTTAGGTAGGGAGCTGAACAAACCCCATGTACAGGATCGATCCTATTTTTGCAAAAGAAAAAACAAATAGAAATATAGAACGGGTAAGCTATTCCCTGGTCTTCCTCGAGTCCTCGATACCTGATGATTCTGGAGCAAGATATCCGGCGCTTGGAGATGCTGTCAGATTCGCCGATTCTATAATGTAACATGTTTTGAGATAATACAGGATTGTAACGAGGGAGAAACTGGTTGCACTTGTAGATAGTGAGAAGTGGCAGGAGCTAAGCACCAATTGGTACTAGCATGCTAATCTGGAAAGCAATGGTATTGTAGTACGTATCTTGAATACGTAACACGTTTAATTCAGTCTTTTGCAGAATCACTAGAAAATAACCAAAAGGAATAAAGAAAGAAAATATTTTTCTCACGGCCAGGGACAACCCCCCCCCTGGTAAGGCTCCATCGCTCCACTGAGATATCCGCCCATCGCCAACATGATTTCAACCCACTCCACACTTTGTGGAAGATCCGCAGTTCGCAGCCCGTAAAGCTTCTGTAATTCGCCGTAACTTTAAAGTGGTCACGACCACCAGCATGATTCGACGATCTCATAGTCCGGTCTGGCTCCTCCACCTGCCTGTCTTTCTTCCATCCATTTTCCCAGGTCTGAGCTCATCTGTCTTGGCCCGATGTACTGACTAGTACGTAGCTCCTGTTTGGATCCTCCCGTATCTCTGGTGTGTGCGGGCCCTGGGTGTTGAAGTTGTATTTCTTTGGTCAAGCATAATTTTAATTTCGATCTCTATTTTCTTTTTTGTTTTTTCCTTTTTTTTTCTCTCTTTTTTTCCCTAAATTCCTTTTTCGAAAAATAATATTCACAGAAATAATAATTATAATAATAATAACAATAATCATCATCATGATAATAATAAAAATATTCTTTACCAGTCCTAAGTCAGTCAACTATTCTAGTCTTCTGCGGATGCTGCTCCTTCCATCTCCATTGTTATTCTTCCTCTTATGTCCCTACTTACCCTGCTGGTGCTGCCGACTACCCACCTCACCCTCTGTCTCTTTCTCTACACCTACTAATATCTTCTGCGCAAGTCTTCTTTGACTTTCTTCTTTTCCCTTTAATTCCAGCATTCCAATCGTGAGGGAGATTCTCCTTGTTCTTTCGCGAGCCATCCTAGATCCTGTTACTAATCCCTCCATATTCTGCTACTCTTCCTTTCCCCCCCCTTGACATTTATCAAATCATCCTGTCCCCGCCTTCTTTTTCCTTGGATCTTCCCGGACACGCCCTTGTGTCCGCTTGTCATCCCACCTTCATATCTTGTCTGCCTCCGCCGACACTGATCCATTATCCTTCTCTTTCACACCAGCCCGCCCTTGTGCTTTCTATCAATCAATAGTGACAGGAAAGGAAAGGTCGGAGATCCATCAGACAGATTACAAAGACTCCAGGCAGGGAAGGAAAAAAGACCAGCCAACGTCTCCCTTTCCACGCGACGCATTCACCTCTATCCCTTGCATTTACTGCGCCTCCGCCGCTCCCGCGAACTCAAACATTGTCAAATCGATCTTTTCAAAGGACTGCACGGAGTACACAAAGCAAAAATCCTGACTGCAGAACCTCAATCTGGAATCCGAGAAGTGCAATCCTTGGCTGGGAGTGCAAGGCCAGTCAGTTAAAACAGGAAGGGTAACTCTGATCCAACCTGTTCACTTGCGCGCTGCGGGTGCGTGTCATATTTTGTTGTCGCCGTCCTATAGTTCTTAGCACTTGACAATCGCGGCTGTCCTAAAGGCGATCGCATTGCCACAAACCCTCACGGAGCCTGTTCCGCACCTTGCGCTGACTTCTAATCGCCGCCCTCTGTCGCCTTTTCCCCTAGCCAGTCCGGCGACCCATCGGGAGTCACTTCCTACAACTTTCGCCCGCTATCCCGCTTGCCACACCTACAACCCCCACCACTCCCGATTACACACCTGTGAAGCAAGGCGACGTCGTCATTTTTCTCTATATTTGCTTACTCTCGCAATCGTCTCCGAAGCAAATTCATCGCGAAACCCAGCTTATCTGACGAGCATTCGTCATTGCACTCCGCCCAAGATCTCGTTGCTTGCCTTGGTTTCTTCCGCCTTCGCTGGGCAACCCTCACCGTCTAAATCGCCCCGACAGACTCGCGCGATAGATCACAACTTATAGCGAATCACACACAGGACCGAGAATTAAAGACACAGTGGATGAAACCCTCGTATTCATTCGATCTCCTCTATCTTGTCTTAATCTACTGGCATGATGGGATCATTAGAAGCTGAGCACAGGCACAGGTATGTCTCTTTTAGACGGGCTCATGGGAGCTCAGCCTGTCAAATGGCAAAACCACTGCATAGAGCCAACGTTCGTCGGATAATTTTACTGACAAGTCAACGCCTCAATCTAGGGAGCACCTCCCCGTACTGGGATTTCTCGGAAAAGACGGACCAAACTACAGCGCAAAACATCCTTCCGCCGCCATGGGCCCGACATCTTCCCCGACACCACTTTTAAGTCCAACGTCCATGTACCCGTCGCAATCCCTACCCTATTCTTTCTCCACATCCGCCAACACAAGCTCATTGCAAGGCGGATACATATCACCGCCAGATTCGCGGCGCGCATTCGAGGAGGAGAAGGAAAAGCCGCCGCAAAGACAATCGCTTCCGTCGATCCATGAGGCTTTGGGAAACGATAATCCATTGCCCTATCCTGCGCCCACTTCGGCTCCCCCACAACAGGCTCACCATGCACCCCACCCTCCCCCCTTGTCGTCTAACGTTGCTGGGCGACCGGGCACAGAAGGGCCCCCTGGACCACCTAACCCGTTCTCAAACGGCGCCTCGTCCGGCACCTTCATGCGCGAGTCAACGTTTCCCCACCAACCTCAGTTGCAAGCGGAGGCGTCGCGGTCGAGTTTGGCCTCAATCAACACCCAGGACTCCAGAACCACATCTCTACAGTCGCTAAGCTCGGGAAAGTCACCTACGCAGAGTGCGAAGACTGGTCTTACTTCTATATCCGGGTCCCAGACTGGTTCTGGCTATGAGTACAGTGCACCTCCTTCTGCCGGCAGTGTGGCTTCTCCCAACGGATATGGCACTTTCTCGCAATCCTTCCAGTTTCAGTCGCAACCTCCTCCGAATGCGCCATCATACCCATCCACTCCTTATGATACTCGACCTTATGGCGGAACAGGCTGGAAACCAGGAATGCCTGATACCGGCCGTGCTGACGAAATGAAGGGGGTGATTCCATCTCGCCCTCCATTGACTGGGCATCATTACGGTGAACCCGTTAAGCGTCATCTAGACATTTACGACGTCGAGACCTCACTGAATGAGATAGCTGATATTAGCACTCGGGCTCTGGACTTTTCGCGTCACTATGCAGCAAGGGCGCATCAAACGCAGCGCTCTGGTCCAGTAACAGGGTCGTTGCCACTTCCGCACGAGATTGAGGAGATGCTCAATCTACAACGCCGCAACCAAGAAGCTTTGCTTCGCATACGAACTGCAGTGCTGAACGAACATGCTTTGGCTGAGCAAATGGCGCAAAGGAAAGTCTTCAAACCGAGTGGTGTTCATGGCGAGGATCACGTGGCAATGTACCAAGAAGATTTCAAGACCAATGGTGGATTCGCGGGACCTGATTCGAAAAAAAGACGAGGGGTATGTTGATTTGTTCACCAATCACCAGCCATGATATCATTTAATTTGCTACCTAGATAGTGCTAACAGTGACATCTGCAGAAAGCTGCTCCCCCTGGGCGTTGCCATAGCTGTAACCGAGCCGAAACACCCGAATGGCGTCGTGGTCCGGACGGAGCGCGAACCCTGTGCAATGCTTGCGGGTTGCACTACGCCAAACTGACGCGCAAGATGGGCGCTAATAAAGCTGCGTCCATGGGTTCAAATCTGAGGCCCAAGACCGCACTCGACACCTCGTCACCAAACAGTCATTGAAGTTATTATCAGCTCATCTAGCTCGGCGTTGGGACTGGCTTTGAAATTAGAAGCATCAGGCGTTTCGAGTCTCGGTTGCTCTTCTTCATCACATCCTCTTGAATGGTTTTATGTGGACTTTCTGCGGTTCGCTTCCAGGTTGGCTGGTTGCCAAAATGTCCCAGCACAGGGACTTGCTTTGATTTTCTCCGGATGTTTCGTGGATTTACTCTAATACCCCCTGCACGACGAGTTAAGAGGCATTTGGGATAGACTTGTTGCTTTTTGTTCTTGTTTCCTGTTGTTTATATCCTTTCTATTGCGGCTGGTCATAATCTGACGCTACAGGCTTTGCATATGCTTTGTTTCTGCTTCAGCTCTGTCCCATTTGTTCGGCCCTACGGATCGTTCTGTTATACTCTTATTCTGGTTTTACACTTATACCCCCGGTTCGATCGATCTGAGATTGCCAGTCTGGCAAATGTTTCGAGTTAGAATGTGCCAATATTATGTTATCCACGCAGTCACGCAGTCTATTTAGAGATGTCATGGGTGCCTTTTTTCTGTTATGGACCCCCAGTATCCTTTTGTATGTATTCCAGCCTTGTCTCCCCACTGTGCACAGCTGAGAGAGGTAACGGCCACCACTTTTACCATCAAATTCTTTAAAAGAATCTTTCACCATCGGGCCGCCCGGCTCGGTCACCGTTTCCCGGCAAGAACTAATGGTATGCAGGTGACGATTCGGCTATAAGACAAAATTGATATGTCATTTCAGGCCCTGAATCTAGACGTCGACAGTACAAGCTCGGGCAACCTTAGTTTAGGCACGCGACCGCCGCATCGGACTCAGGAGTTAAAGATCCACTTCACTAATGAAAAAGCGCGAGGAAACGAGAACAGAAAGGAGAATAACGGAGTGGATCGTGTATAGACATCTCTCTATTGCTCTTTCTGGAGGAGCAACGTACGTACGCCCCGGGACTCATTTCTGCAATGCCTCGTGGCCCGATAAATGCCAAAGAAAAATCACTCAGATGGAGACTAGAGAGACACTAGAACCGACCAGAACCCCCGCGGAACCCGAGCTTGCACTCACGCTTGATCATTCTGAGGCGTCTGCACGGTCAATGGCCGAACTAGTGTGGGTGGAGATGATAGTGGTGGTGATGATGATGGTGATGACGATGTGTGTTGTCCAATAGTAAGTACTACTAGGTTGTACCTAGTTAGTCTACTCGACCGTCTCACATTGTGGATACCCCGGTACATGGACTGAATCAAATCGAATCTATGATTTTTGGGGGGGCTTTTTTATTTTTTTTTCACATCGCATGCTCAATAAGATAAGACCAATAGTGCAGGCTATTGCCTCTAGACCCTAGACTGAAAAGTGTACAAGGCGAGCAGTCGAGCGACTAGAATAGGAGGTGCCCAGTGGTGGTGGAGGACTCCCAATCTGACTCGGTTGAGTTTGGACCTTTCCGGTAAAGGCAGAAATGCCACTGCGAATCGAAGGAACCACCGATCGGATCTCATCGTGTTTGCATCCGATCTCACTTTTCCCCATCTTGCATCCGTCCTAAGTCCCAACAACTTGGAGTAGTAATTAATGATTGTGGAAGAGTACTATCACAAGCCTACGCATACAGAGTACGGTCGTGATAGCACTAATGACCGAGCTGCTGAGGGCTTTATTGAGCGTGCCCCATCCTATCGTCGCCTGTACTACCACTACCACTAACTACCTACCACCCACTAACTACCGTTGCCGGTCGGCGTTAGGCGGCGATTTGGTTCCAAGATGTGAGATCTCATTCAGATGACAGTGGGTCCCTGCCGTTCCCGACTCGTCCTTTTTTTGTTCCTTCACCGCCAATTCAACCTTTCACATGCATTCCGTCCCCCGGCCCTTTCCTCCTCTTTCCCTTCCAAATGGGCGAATGACAGTCGGTATCATCGATCCTGTTCTCCTTGGGACTTATAGATACATACGGTACATTCGGACTCCTAAGTCTCGATCGCTTCTGTCTTCAAGGGGGCTAGCTACCTTCAAGCAGGTCGACTCAAACATTGACTGTTCCAATGTACATACACATTCCCATGGGGTTCTGGATTCCGCCAAGCTCCGAACTCTTGCCATCGACAATCCACAACACATGCTATGCTCGTATGTGTCCATGTACAGTCCAGCACGGTGGTGTGGTTAACTACGGTGCCTTCCGGCCGAAACTCGAATGGGACGATTCTTTTTGTTTCTCTCTCTCTCCTCCCGACTAGGTTACGTATAATTTGGAATCAGCGATGCAATTGTGTCATGTATCCACATCAGACACCTCCATTCGCTCGGCTACAAGATTGGAAAAATAGATTAGAGAAGACTGGCACCATCATGCCACATCTGTTTGGAAAATAAGACTTGGCCGCTTTTCCCCACTCCCCGCTCGATGGATGATAAGGCAGGCGGCTGGGATGGACATCGTTCGACATGGCCTTGCACTGCCAACTAACTATCAGTAGTAGTACATACGTGGAAACAGCAGGAGTCTGTCTGATCTCGGGCAATGCCGAAATACCGCAATACCAACTCCCCGGGGGCCGAACCCCGGCCGGGCGGGCGAGAGCTCAGTCATCATTCTCCACCTCCATAACTTCACCATCAATGGGGCTGCTGGCTAACTATATGAGGGCGCACAACTATTTGGGTCTGGGATTGATTAGTCGAGTCTATGAACCCAACTCTTGACGCTAGTATTGTCTACGATTGGGTACGCTTTGCCGCTTATTGAGTTCCCTACTACTCATGTGTGTGCCCAGTGAGTACGGACTACGGAGACCTAGCTAGCACAATGATACCTGTCCCAAGATTGTTGACCGGACTGGACTGATGCAACCTCTCCGACTAGTTATCGAGCGCCTACCTGCCTATCGACCCCACCGACCCAATCTCTCGGTACTTCAAGCGGTGAAACCACGGCGGACCGACCGATCGATCGATCTTTCTATCTACTCGTACCTCTGTGCCCGCCTCGGTTTCTTATTCTCTCCTATCCACAAAAAAAAAAAAAAAAAAAAAAAAAAACAGTTGATACGCCGTCTGTCTGGGCATGTGAATGCTTACTTTAGTTCGGAGCCATGATGATACCCAGGATGCCTCGCCAGGGTCTCAGTCCAGGACTAAACCTGCCCCCTCATTTTCACCGCCAAATCCGTACTCACCTTCCCCGTGGCCGATGAGTAAGGATCTGAAACGAATCCTGAACCCAAATGTTTGCCCACCAGATCAGCAAACCCAGAGAACCCCAAGCCAAGGCGAACTACTACCGTATCATGCCGATGGGATGCAGCTTTTTTTGGGGGGGCGGGGGTCGATTCGGCATTTCCCCGTTCCTCGCCCGCCATCCATAAGATCGTCTGATATCATCCTGACCAAAGATGAGAGAACGGTGGAGTCCACCCACCTCGATCATCGGTCGCCGCCTTTGTTTTCTTTCCTTGTTACTAGCTAGGAGCCTCGCAGTTCCGGGAGAGGGAAAGGGATGTGCGGGTGATCTTACTTGTCCATTTCGACCCAAAAAGATAAAAAAAAAAAGGAATATGCCGAAATCTTCCCTCCTGAATTACCCAGGCAGGCGATAGGGCGGTTAGGCCGGATGGCACCGAGGGAGAGCAAGATCTCAAATCGAACCAAGGATCATCCACTCACGAAAATCAGTCGACGGGAAGCACCGGCGGGGCAGATTCTGTTTCTTATTCGATCGGCGATAGGGTCCGATAGTTTCAGTTGATTGACAGATTTGCCTTCCTCCACCTACCTTACTCAGAGGTAGTATCTTTCTGGTCGGGGTTTGGGTTGTTGCACCTTAAAGCATTTTCTTTCTCGGGGTTTGGATTGGGTTCAATGCTTCCATCTAGGTAGGTTTCATTTTCTCCACGCTACATCTCGAATTCCAAGAGTGGCATTGGCAGTTTTCAGGGATCCGGATGTTTGGAGGCTTTCTCCCAACTGTCACCGCGACTACACTGATACTGAGACCTTTCATGTCTATGGTCTCTCAGCATCCGGCGACGCAGGCCCGGATCTAGCACGGAGACCTCCCTTCCCCACTCTTCTACAAGAGGATATGCGTCTCTTTTGGGACTACCGAAAGTCTTGGAATTCGAACCGGCGAAGTTTGAGGTGAAAAGCATCCCGCAGTTGGGTATCGAACCCTAGCGAACAAGGCTGCAGGTCGATCGACCGGGGGAGGGGGGGGAGACGGGAGCCTGAGATATCGGGATCTGATCTGTGACACTTGAGGAAGGAATAAGTTAGAACTAATCGATCGTAAATCGCAAATCGCAACCCGCAACCCGCGCGGCGCATCGGAGCTGCATTCCTGTTCGAGATGGGAGAGAAAAAACAACCCACGGCTAGTCTCTCTCGCTGGCTCGTTGGATTTGCAATCCTGAGGTGTTCACGCGTACCATACTCGAGTGACCGTAATTCTAGCAGCAAGGATTACTGTACCGCATGTCCTTGGAGTCCGCAAGAAGATGTATGTATGCATGCATGTATGTATATCATCGGTTCCATCACAGTCGGCGGTCTGGATGATGTGTGGATGGTGTAGGGGTTGCTTTTGTTGTTGTGTGCTCGACGTGCCTGGATTGACTATTCGCTAGCAGATTCGTTTTTCACAGGGCTCATGTGCGCCTGTTTGAAGGCTCCAGTATCTCGAGGGTCACTTGTGTATGTATTCAGCTTGAGCTACGTGCGGACACGCCTTGTAGATTCGAACACGCAGTCTATGTCGACCTAACGAAGAACATGGCGCCGTCAGCCGTCGAACTGAGAGCTAGAACCACATGGCAACAACGCTACGCATACCATAACATGAGCACTATGTTATCGATGGCTCTGTAGCACCGCATCCGCAACAGGACCCTCCCTCCCTTTGCCATCCACGAAGGCTGTCTGTCCGGGTAACCCCTGCATCTGGTCCAGGTTTCTGTACACGTTTTCCAGATACGGAGTATGTAACCAGACCCAGTCCGTACGAAGGCGTATTTCACAAATTTTCGTTCTTTGATACAGACTGTACATAACGAAGTAGTTACAGGGTATATCCCAGTGGAGAGCATCGTGTATTGTGGGGGGGGGGGGGGGGGTGCAAAGATCGGACAATAAGGCACCAGCTGGAATCGTCTATACCACCACCGCACCGCCTCGTGTCTGATTCCCTCGCAAGCTGCCGCCGGGGCCACGCCCGTTGATTGGCTCAGATGGTGTTTAGGTTTTAGATTCGTGGCTCGATTTCGCCCAGACGCTGCTATGTAGGTAATTAAAACCTCCTGACTACAAACGGAGTAGTCCATGAACTGTACCGACTTAC